GAGGAGCTGTCACGGGGCTGCGGGCTGGAGTTGGGTGGGAGCTGCGGGACCCCAGGCTGGGGACTGGGCGGGGGCCCGGGCCCGGGCCTCTTCCCGCCACTCCTCCCTCTCAGACCCCCTGGGTCTCTGCCAGCCAGGCAGGGTGGCCTTGTGATGAGCAGCCCCCATGAGCCGGAGGAGCTCCTGCCCCAGGCCCTGCCCTTGGCTCCTCCCGGTGGGGCGTGGCTCGCTCTGTTCTCTGAACCAGCCAGGGACTCAGCTTACAGGCGCTGGAGCCGGGCCCCCAAGTGCCACCCACTGCCGTCCAGAGGGACTCCTCGCAGTGGGATCACCCTGCTGACCCGTGCCCCTCCAGAGCCCCTGGGAAGGCTTCTAACAGGCCCCCAAGGGCCCTGCCTGCCGAGGTGGGGGAGGGACACACTAGCACCTTGGTCTTCTGTGTTGGGTCCCCGAGCCTCAGGCGGCCTTTGGGGGCTCTGGGATGTCACATACGTTGTTCTGAGCTGCGGCATCTGTGCGTGGAGCTTCCAGACCCGGCTGGAGCCACTCAGGCTAGGATGCTGCCTCCGGTGCCCATGAGGACACTGAGGCTGCAGGGGCAGGGCCGAGCCCAGGACGGGAGGAGCTGTGACCTTCAGGGTCTCGACCGTGGTCTTCCTGCCCACCCACGGGGCTTCTCTCACCTCTGGGGCAGCTTGGAGGTGACAAGGGCTCTGGCTGGGGCCCAGCCTTCCTCAGAGTCGAAGCCGCCAGACGCCAGGGGCCGCTGCCCTTGCACTGCTGGCTGGAGGCTAGAGCAGGGTTCACCGCCCTTGAAGGACGGACAAGTTAGAGAAGCAAGCCCGTGTCCCCAGGCCTGTCCCTCTCCTGCCCACTTCCCCGGATCCTCGGGCCTCGCAGGGCTTGGCTCCACGCCGGGTGTGGGTGCCATTCCTAACAGGACATCAGGGGGTTTTGAAGGAGATGGCATCTCCCTCCAGACTCCAGGCTGCCAGGAGGCCTGGACTCAAGGGCTCGGGGGTGTCCTCTATTGGCCTGTGTGTCCCTGGGGCTTCTGGTGCTGGCCGAGTCCTAGAGCCAGAGCCACCCCCTCAGCCCCACCCCACCTTGGGCTCCGTGGGGGAGGCAGCCTCAGGGCAGGTGTTGAGACCAGCGTCCCTGCCCAGCCTTGGCCCTTAGGGACTCACTCAGAGGTGTTCCCATCCGAATCTCCACAGCCCAGGGCTGAGTGGCCCTGGCCCAGCCTCTCTGTCTCCTAGGCAGTCGCCAGGGCGGGGGGCCAGACCCAGCTGGGTCCGGGAGGACCTGGAGCCTCCCACTGGGGCGGACCAGGAGGGCTGCCCTTGACTTTGTGCTGATTTCACCCCACCAGGCCAGGCAGACCCTCCTGACCTGACTGTCCCTCCCAGAAGGGCAGGAGGGCCCCAGATCCGTGGCGCCTGTCCCTGGGGCAGCCGCCAGCTCCCTGCCTAGCTGTGGCTACGTCCCAGTGTCCTTGGGGGACAGGAACTCCTGTCTCTGCTGCCTGTCCACTGCTAGTGCAGTGGCTTTTGTTGGGATGTTTCTCCCTTGTCCACACCTGCCACACAGCCTGGCAGCTCTGGGCGTGGTCGCGTGGACATGCGTCTCATTCTCTTTTCTAAATGCTACTTTATCTTTTATTTTATTTATCTTTTTGAGTTGGAGTCTCACTCGGTCGCCCAGACTGGAGTACAGTGGCTGTTCCCGGCCACCACGACTTCGACCTGCCGGGCTCCGGCGATCCTTCCGCCTCAGCCTTCCGAGTAGCTGGAACTACA